AAGGAGCCACATTATCTCTCTAGTATATATATATACATACTTATTATATTCTATACACATATATATATAAAATAAGTTTTTTTACCTCGCCGAGTCACAATTATCACGATGACGCACGAAGAATTTTTGTCATGAAATCCGCTGGTGTCTGTTTCTTCTTTTTTTTTCGTGATAACGGGAATTATTCGTGCGTAATAGTGTGCACAAGAGAGGCGTGTACGACCTTACCGAAATACGTTCTTTACGTTCTTCCGATGACGTTACTTATTTAGATTCATTCTCGCGAATGCGCGTTTCTTTTTTCTGAACAAAAAAAAAACCATCTGAGAAATTTTCCTCATTTCTCGCATTCCTTCGTCGCGCTTCGATGCATCCGTGTGCGTGCGCTCGGAGATACATATTACTTATTTGCACGTGTAGAAATAATACCAGATATTCCGGATCGAGTTATCATAGTGATCTAGGGGGATAATAGCCGCCGAAGAGTCATAAATAACAATAGAGATAATAATATCGGCGTAGTGTAATACGTGACATAACAAAACGCGTAACGCAATGAACGCCGTAATGAACGTCGATAGGAGGTGATATCCAAGAATACACCAACGTCGCAAAAAACGCGCACTTTTCTCGGCGATGCGCAAGGACGCCTCGTTATCGATAAAAGTTCGCGGTTGTTCGATAAAATTCCACGTTTATCGGATTGAGACGAATTCTGATTAATCGCCCGTCAATATCAATGCGCAGCAGGAATTCGAGAAACGCGCAGCGCGAATTTCGCCCGAATCCTCCTCCGCCGTCGCGGCGTGCAACCGTCGTGTCATGTTAATTTGTCGATCATCTCATTGATCGCGCGGCGACGCGCGTTATCGCCGACATTTGATTGGCTCAAGCCGTGCGTCACCTTACGCGAAAAATTCAGATGAAACAACGGTGACGGCACAGTCGGCGAAAACAGGCGCGCTCTGATTACTAATTCCATCCGCTATGGTTAATCGAGCGAGCAACCGATAAGAGAGTCGCGACGTCTCTGACGCAGTCGAATCGCGAAAAGATCGGCCTGTCAATACCGTGGAATCGTTACTAGGCTCGCTCAAGTATAACGATGCTGAGGCATTTTTGTTTACTTGATATTGGGTGCCGTTAGCTATTCGATATGCCCGTCATACAGATATTCATATTTGAATAATAGAAAAAAGAATTCGCCGATAGCGAAAATAAACATCAATCTGTAATATTCGCTGAATTCAGCGAACATTGCAGGTTGATGCTTATTGCGTTTATTCCGCGTTTATTTATGACTAGTGTATTGAGGTCGATTAATACGCCATTGTGCGATGTACGAGTTTAGATTAAAATAAGATATATTCCGCGATGCATTCTTCATAAGGAAATCGTGCGGATCAAAGGCAAATACTTAGCTTCAAATCACAGGACGCGTGGCCAACCTAAATAGTGGTCCCGTGCTCCTAAAAATACATTTTACGTCATATGGTTTATTGCTGAACGTCCGGTTTAACGAACGTTTTGTTGCTGAGCGAACAAAAGACTGCATTAGTACACAGAAATATATATCGCGCGCGCGCGCGCGCGCACGCGTGACATGTAGGTACGCATTATACATATATGCACATAGATTACACCGTGAAATTCCGCCGGGCGCTATCCGCCGCGCGAATACGGCATATAATAAACCGCACCATTGTTTGTACGGAATACCGCGGAATTAAATTTATCGAATCGCAGCGTCGCACATCCCCGGCCGGGATACGATATGCATTTAAATAAGAATAATATTCCAATGCAATAACGTACATTTCCGCGATCCGCTGTTTTTCGACTACTATTTTGTTGAAACGGTGAAACAGAATTTCCGCCATAAAGGAAGTATTTTATTATATTCATTAAAGACATAAAAAATGCATTTTCAGAGAACTTGAGGTGCATATGCATAAATAAAAAAATTATAAAAAATAGGATAAATAAAGGATAGATATATACAGAATTGATGAAACGCATAAAACTGTGAAAAATAAGGATAAATATAAATATGGCATAATGGGCGTGCTGTGCTTCCGGCATGATCTCCGCTCTCAATGCAGTTTTTGTGCTTCTAAAAGAATCACGATACTTTACTGCAGCTTTATCGCAACGTATTGTTTCGAAATATCCCGGAAAACACGGTAGGAAAGTTCGAAAAGAAAATCCCCTTTTATTGCTGAATGAAACGGGACGGTACGTAAGTACAGCTCATTCAACACGGTCAAATCCCTTGAATC